TTTATCACTATTTAGAGAATAGCCATTATTACATGAACATGTGTAACTGCCAACAGTATTATTACATATTTGCTCACAATCACTGTCTATGCATTCATCAATATCTACATTTCTTAATAATATGGTGTTACATTAACCGAATAATGTTACCTATGCAAGTGCTACCATTTGAATGCAGCATGTAACCTACTTTACAATTACAGTAATGACTACCAGGAACATTGTTACATAACTGATCACAACCTCCATTACTGGAATCACACTCATTTATATCTATTAGGTTAACATGTTTAAAAGGATAATTAATATTCTTCTAACCAGTGCAGTTGTGTTCATCAGTATTCAGACTATATCCAGTGTCACAGCTACAAATATATGAACCAACAGTATTAGTACAAGTATGATCGCAGCTACTATTGTCTTCAATACTTTCATTAATATCTAAGTAATCATCATAAAATCAGTTATCAATGCATACAATGTCTAACCTGTACAGTTTGTGTCACTATTATTAAATGAATATCCTTCCTGGCACATACAGTAATGACCACCATTAGTGTTTATACATATCTGTTCGCATCCTCCATTGTTGATGGTACATTCATCAACATCATCACAATTATGATCATCACTGTTTAACTGATATCCAGTCATACAACTGCAGTTGTAACTACCAAAAGTGTTGTTGCATATCTGATCACATCCTGATGTTCCTTCAAAACATTCATCAATATCTGTATAAGCATTGGATAATATTGCATAGTTACGTATATTAATAAACAAACCAGAACAAGTATTGTTAGTTTGAGTATCCAATCTATGTCCAGAGTAACATTCACAATAAAATGAGCCATCAGTGTTTATGCAACTTTGATCACAAACATTAGGATTAATCTGACACTCATTATTATCTGTAATATAATTTTTAAATATGTGTTATTGTTATACATTTTATTATTATTATTATTATTATTATTATTGTTATTATTATTATTACTATCATTGTCATCTCAGCGAAAAAATACATTTTATTTATACCTATACAAGAAATCCCATTTGATTTGAGTGAATAACCAGTATTACATGAACAATCATATGAACCAGGTTCATTGATACAAACTTGATCACAGGTATCAGTTCCCATTGCACATTCATTATTATCTGTGATTGATATAACTCAAGGCAATGTATGTAGCTTACTGACCTATACAGGAATGACTGTCATTGCTCAAAGTGTATCCTGATTCACATTCACAGTAGTAACTACCAACAGTATTAATACAAGTCTGATTACATCCTGAGATGCCCAATTGACATGGATCAATATCTAAAGTGACATGACTGTGAAGTGCAGTAAATTTAATTGAAATAACTTACCTACACAAAAAACACTGCCACTATAACCTGATATACAAGAACAATAATAACTTCCATTTGTATTAGTACATATTTGTTGACAGCCACCATTATTGACAAGGCATTCATCAATATCTAATTTGATTACAAAATAATTATTGAAATTTTTAAATGTACCTATACAATCTGTGGTACTATTTTCAATAAAGTCATATCCATCATAGCAGTCACACTCAAAGCTTCCATCAGTGTTGGAGCATATTTGAGAACAGCCTCCCTTATTATCATCACACTCAATGATATCTATTAAAAGAGCATGTTAATGCCTCACCCTTATTTAATGTACCAATGCATGACATTCCATTAACTGCCATAATATAACCAGATCTACAAGAACAGTTATGAGTTCCTTGAAGATTAGTACAAATTTGATCACAGTCTCCATTATTTGAACTACATTCATCAATATCTGTAAAAATATAATGTATCTATACAGGGGCGTAGCTGGGAAGGAAATGATGAGGAGGCCTGAAGATAAATGGCGCGCGAAGCGCGCCGAAAATTTGGCCACACCCC